ACGCGAAATATTCACATCTGATTCGAACGAGTCGAGTATCCGCAAACTCTGTTGCACAGAGATCCAAGAGAATTTGCATCCCGTGCTAAAATTTACCATGCGAAAGCAGGATACGTATTTTATTCTACCACCGTTTTTCCCGCCACGCACTCACGTTTTATTCCAACGATAACGAATCCTTGCTTTGTGGTTTTACGCTTTCTTTATCCCTCTCTCGAAACGTTTCCTCCACACTTTTGTCGAGAAATTAATTCTGGGAATGCGTTTTGGCAATCGAATTTTGCCCACAGCGATTCTCAGTCGTACTCTACTAATCGAATTTTCTAATATTCGAATGCCATGCTCAAAAATTGAAACACTCGTCTTTTAAGTCAATACGATTGGAAAATTATTAATTTATTCGTACAAAGCTACCGTGCGTCCAATTTTCGTTTCATAAATTTATTTTGAAACTCGAGAATTTCGATAACCGTATCGTGATATAATTCTAAGAGATATCTAGTTTCCGTTGCTGCAGTAAGATTCGTCCTCGAAAATTTGCCCATTATTAGCGACGATTCGACCGGATTCGAGGAACGTTAAAAATTAATGAAGCGTGAAATGAAATGTAAACACAGTCTCGTTTCTGTCCCGGCGATAACTGGTACAATCGTTGAAAACCTTTTCACAATGCTCTCTCGCCTCTTCGCGAAACTTCATTGAAATAACAGTATCGAAACCGCAAATGGAAAGAAGGAACGGAACAGAAGGGAAAAAGATTAAAATACAACTTTGTTACCGCATTTCTTGCGAAAATACGAGATAGAAGATTTTCCGCTACATCGTGTCCAGATATTTCTGGATAACCATACCCGTGAAAAATCGTTATGTATTTTTATCTGTGAATATTTTTAGCCTCGGAAATTCGGCCAAGAAAATTCACGGTGAAAAAAAATGTAAACAATGGGTGTATCGAATAACTGTCTCATAACCGAGCGACCGAAATACCTATATATTTGAAACTTTGTTAAAAGCATCGTGACGGGACAAAAGGATATATATATATATTGAAACGCGATCAAACTACTACTCGTGTCATCCATTAGCGATACAATCGCTCGAGAAGGTTAAATTCGAGGGCAAATACAGAGAGTTGGAGGGAAAACAGCTGACGATTTTCAGAATGTAATAAAGCCACCACCACTTCGTACTAATGAATTTTTAATTCTGCTGTTCTGGTGTATCGGCTCGTGTCAAATTACGTTAGCACGTTGCTGTGTGTGTGTGTGTGTGTATATATATAAGTGGAAAGAAAGATTTATCTTAGAACGAAACGTTGAAAATTTTATTACGAGAACAATTCCGTGTTTTATCATCGACGAAGATTATTAAAAAAAAAAAATCCAACGAATTATTCACTTTCGAGAGATACTCACGAGAGATACGTTGCTTCAAATATACTCGAAGCTTCTGAAAGGAAGAACAATGTTCGCCCTAAGAAAAGGAATTCTCCGAGGAGGAGCGTGCTATTTATCCTTGGCAGAGGGTCGGTTAATCGATCCATGAATCACTTTTCCCCGAATAAAAAAATTCGACAAACACCTATTTCACCCTATCATAATATAAATTCCATTCTTATCCCTGAAAGAGATGCGAAATTATTCTTGGTTGCGTGTTTCTCTTACGCAGTTACAGTAATGCGGTGAAAATGCTGTTCGTGAATAAGCTATCGGAAGTTGTAACACGCGACTATCTACAGGAAATGTTACGTTTCGTGGCGTAGTTTCGCCATACTGGCAACATCCATAAATAGAGTATTAAGAGGAAAGATTGGAATAATCTTGGAAGATAATCGGAAGGAGACGATTGTTGTTCATGCTGGAAGGGAATTTCAGGAGCGCACGATAGGAGAGATAAGAATACGAGGCTTCCAGCTGGCTGACAGACGTATTGACGTATCGTTAACGGTTACGTCAGTGCACGAGTATAGTTGGAACGTTAACACGTTACCTACCATCGAATGGGGTTGAACAAGACAAACCGCGGTATCGATTTTACCGTTCTCTATGATCGGGGAAAAGAAGGGATGAAACGCGAGCCGCAAACCTCGCTAATCTAGATTCGAATTGTGTCGGTGGGTAGAATGAAGTTGGAAATGAAAAAATAACGAAGAAATCCAAGAATATTGTATCGATTCGAGGAAAAGAAAAGGAATTGATTCAAAATGAATTTATCGCGGAAAAATTCTAATCTTAAAACTTGAAAATATACAATTCACTTTCGAGATCAATTTTATACTTTTGCGAGGCTTTTTCCATGATATACGATGATATTACGTACACGCGCAAATTTTCATTAAATCAATACTTACAAACAGCGGTATAGATGTACCACGCTCAACCAACAATATTGTTTCAATACGTGCGTAAACAAAATCCCCGCAAAATTCTCGATTGAACATTATTCGAGATGGAAAGAAACGTGTTCTCAATCCTAGTTATTCAATTCGAGAAATGTATTTTCTGGAAGGTTGCCCGGATTAAATGAAAATGACATTTCGAAATATGTATTTGAAATGTCATATGTGTAAGAAATTGCCCTACACACAGTCACAGGGCTCGTGGTAAGAATAAAACATCGCAATTTCGTTTCGCCTCGTTCGCCGCGCGGCTTATAATCCCTCCCTTTCTTGCTCATTTTTCTATCTTGGGAGACGCGGCCACTTACACGAGACATCTATCGCTGTTTCATAGCCGCTCGAGAAGCGAGTGTGCTTGACGTGAAGAGGAGCGGTGAGACAGACATCAACGGTATGGTATGACTCAAGGCTTTTACTTAAACGCGTAATCGATATTTCGATTCCACAATGTCCGAGGATAATTGCGCTCGTTACCGACACGAGAAATTTTATCGATTCTCGGTATAAGACGTTCTTAGACGTCCATTCACGCCATCTAATCGTGATCGTGATGATCCCCGATTGATGATTAAATCTGGTTCACGAAGATAGAAAATAGAGTGATTCTCAATAACGCGCGAGATTTGAAATTCTTTAATCATTAGGATGAATATTTGGTTAAATATTTTTAAGTATTGAAAAATTATCGACGTTGTTCGATATTGATTTTAAATTTAAATATTTTAGGTATATTTAAAAGAGGAAATATTTTGAAATATTCACGGAATATCCTAGTGATCTTGTTTAATATTCCGAGGATGAGTTTTAATTTTGTTAAAAATTAAAAAAAGAAATTATTGGAGACGTATAAATGCATTACATTCGAATTTATAAGTTCAATGGTCGTTTATAGTAGTGAAATAAATTTAATGACACAGAATTCTATTTTTCGGTCACGAAGAAGACCGAAAGTTATCAAATAATAATGCTTGGGATATAGGTCGACCAAATAATCGATAAATCTATAACTTATTCACTATTCCATATACTAATCCAATCTTTTTTGTAATTTTTTATGTAAAAGCTTTTTAACACCTTTTTGATAGTTTAAAAATGTACTACACCGAGTATAATTGGCTTTATAATACATATTATAACATCAGTTAGTCAGATAACATGTAAATATCATTAATTTAAAAATAATTCATTAAAAAAAATTAAAATTAAAAATTGAAAATAATTGATAAAATGAAATATATGATGATACTTACTGATGAAGACAGTGATGTGTGAATTTTACGTATGATGCATTGAATGAGAATATGAAATGTGCCCAGGAAAGCAGATGCTAGATGATTTGTCGCGGAACCAGTTTACTTCTCATCGAATCATTGAAATACCTAAACATATGGAACATCATCAGTAGAAAATAGTGTTCATGATAATATGATAAAAAAACTTAATTATGAAACCGATAAAAGGTCATATTTCTCATAAATTTTTAAATATATTTAATCTTTATGTTACTATTCATTTTAAGATAATTACAATTAAAAAAGCAATTTCATCGAAAAAAAATGAGGGTGAAGCTCATTAATAACGTGTTATAATTTATACGAGCAACGATATAAAATTTTATAGAATTGTTGACACATTGCCGCCATGATGGTTATTGATTAACGATTTAATATAGGATCCTTGTGATTCATTTTTCAATAAGAATTAATTAATATTCATCATTTTTCAATAAGACTAATTACAATACGATTTTCATTTTTAAAAAAACGGTTATATTTCGCTACACATTAAACTCGATTAATAATCCTATATACATTCATTGAAAATGTAAAAATATATATTGTTCGATGACAGATTATTTTAATATAATTTTCATGTTTTTTGATGTTACAATTTTATCGATAGAATATTTAAGAAAGAAAGAACATAAATAATGAAAAATGATATAAATAATTCATAAAAGCGAGGAATACAATTATTATCCAAATATTATTACCCGAATAAAATTTATTGCGTATGTATAGTATGAATATGAATATAATTCGCTCTATATCGTTCCAGAATTTTTCTTTTTGTTATTTCTTTTACGTTTATGAGTTTTTGTTATTGTTCTTTTTAAACTTTTTTATTATATTCTATCGTGTATATTGCAAAAACGTATAATGCATGTGATTTTTTGTTGATTCTAACCTAACAAACGTTTCGAATTACTTTATAACAATGTTTTATTTAATTGTACTTACATATTAATTTACAGGAAGCAATGGAAAGATTATCTGCTTCTCAAATTTTACTTGATTATACGACATATTTAAAAATTGAATAACTTTCACTCTTTTGTCATCATTCGATATTTTACATTTCATCCACATATATTAACACATATCATATTATTTATCACGCATTCAAAGACACAACGAATTGCAAATATATAAATATTATATAAACACAATAAACACGATAAACACAAATGTATTAAGTTAAAATCTGCACAAATCGAACACTTCAATAGGTACTACTTGTTCGAAATGCGTAGTAAGAAATTTCGCCGCAATATTAATTATTACGTTAAAATGGCGCTAATATCGATTCTGCGCATGCGATCAGTGCGCAGAGGGAATTATGGGTAAAATATTGCTAAATTTATTTAGTGTCCATATGAAGTGCAAACGGTGAAAGTGCGTCGTAATTAGTGAAACTTTTTAATTGATTAGAAGCAATGGATCAAGATAAAATCATTCATATCAACGATCATCACAACAGGTAACTAAATTTTAACTTTCACATTACGTATATACGTATGCATACTTTAAGACAAAAGATTTTTCGACAATAAAAGCGAAATATTATTCAAGAGATTATACCGAATAAATGTCGATATAGGTATCGAGAAAAAACCTTCAAAAGTTTTAGAAATTCGATTAGAAATATATAAAAGTAAATTTTAAAGTAGAATTTTTGTAAGAATGCGATTAATTTATATAATTTTATTATATATATATATAATAATAATCTTCTATATATAATAAGATTATTATATTAAAATTTTTCAAATCGAATAGCATTTTCGTATTGTAAAATCAAACAGTACTCATTATGAAATTTTTAAATACATTTAATTAAACTTTCAAAATTTTTTCTCATCGAATTTTCTTGAAATAATTACTTGTAGATTAATTACTTGTAAAGTTTCGCTTGAAAAAAGAAACCGTTAAAGAATTTTTTATATGAACTTTTTTTTTCGGTTCGTAAAATAACGCAGAGTGAAATTTCACAGAAAATTCGTTTGGTTAATGTAACAGCGTTACAAAGGGTGATCGTGTGGGTAGCCTTGCACGTAAAGATTCTCATTTCTGCCAGCTCATTATTTCGTGGTTGCTAGAAACAGGTGGCCTCTTTCAAATCTATTGGACTTTTAGCACTACGTACTGTATAGATGCTAAATCTTGTCGTTTGAAAATCCAATGGTTATATTCGGAAATTTTCGGATTTCATTATAATTTATAACAATACGCTTTATTCTATTTTACCATATATATATATTTCTTTCTTTTCCAAATAGTTTTTCAATACCTTACATGTTGCACAGTTAATAAAATATCTATTTTTTTTACATTTATATTAATATATAATATTAATATATCTACGTAATATATATTTACAGGGTACAACTATAAAGAAGAACGTGTCGAACAAGAGAGACTATCATCGACATATCGAACAGATACAACTGTAACAGAAATTATATACCGAGCAGATGCAACTATAAAGAGATACCATTCTACATGAAGTGGTAAGTCAACAATTTTTTCTTTGAAACATAAAAACAACAAGTATTTCCGTACGTTAAGTGTGAAGGGATAGAAAAAAAATATAGGAAAAATTTGTTTCCATTAAATACTATTTAATAATTATAAATAAATTCATCTTATATTCCAATAAAACATTATAATATATAACAATTTCTTATACTCGAAATTTCCAAAATGTTGAAACGTACTATTACGAGCGTAACGGGTTATCTCTGAAAAAAAAAGATAACATATATGGTGCAATGATAATATCAGAGTGCGTGTTTTACAGAATACAGCCACTTAGTCTCAATTTCAAGCTCGAGTTCAGCCCTGTGTACAGCTGTACACGTCCCACGGTATTATCGTTTCGTCGTGGCTCGCACGTTATGCGATAGCTTTATTTCACGTGTAGCTAGAGCCGAGATTCGATAAAAATGTAAATTTAGGCATATTTATGTCGCGAGTCGATCGCGCGAAAAATTTCAATGCGGCCCCTAGCTTTATCGGTTCTTTATCCCTATAAGTGCACGTATACGACGAGCACCAATTAATAAAATGCTCGTATAAAGGCGAGCATCAATTAGGCTTTAAAAGAAAATATCGATAAATTAATTTGTCCTCTTCCTGCTTAGAAAATCGTTAACTAAGTTCTGAAGATTTTTTATTTTAATATATTTATTAATAATATACGTTATATATATATATATATATATATTTTTCTAAATTAACCAAATCCAGATCTTTTATCTTAAAGTATTTTTCATTAAACTGATATATATATATTATTATTATTTTTTTTTCAAATTTAAATCAAACTTGAAAATTTGAAAAGTAGTTTTTTAGTACAGAAAAAGTATAAGAATCCTATTACAAAAGTAGAACTTAGTTAACGACCTATACATCCTCTATAAAAGTATAGAATTCTTTCCAGAATCTTGAAGAAAAGAAGAAAAGAAGAGAATAATAATAGATTAACAAGTAAGTGGAATACAATTTTTAAGTGTAATCTAGATTTTATGATATTTTTGATGCGAAATGAATATTATAGAAAGATTGTAAAAAGAAAGAGGGGGATAATACTGGAAAAGTGAGAGCTTTCTCGCATTACAAACGATAAAGGTGGCTTCTAGTCGTGGAAAGGGATTAAATGTAAAACATCTTTTGGAACGTGGTCTCTCTTTCTCTTTCTCTCTCTTTCTCTTTCACCGTGAAATTATAGACCATAAATATTAAAACGGGATTGCACAACACGTCTCAGAACGTTCACCCTGTAGAAACTTTTTCTCAACTTCTTACTCTCTTTATAGCAAAGATATGGTAATTTTAAACTTTAAAAATTTCGTGTAATTTATAGATTTTTGTTTATCATTTTTCTTTCGCGTATGTAAGGGATGAGATAAGTTGTAGGATAGAGATGCAATCTTTTATAACTGGAAAAATAAATAAGATGTGTCTATTGGATAGCACATGTATGAAATATCGAGGCGTATTTTAGTAAAAAGTGAGCGAACTATTCGCTCTTGTTTTCCTGTTCGAGGGCGCGTGTCAGGTACTAAAGTATTACCAGTCCATCGATCGTGGGCAACGTCCATAGGAAAGATGCCCCGGTAAATATAGTGGACAAACACTCTTGCTGCTCTAGGCTGATATATTTTCTTTTTCTAAAAAGTTCTTTAGAAAATCTTATAGCCAGACGATAAATATCATTTATATATTTACATAGTAAATATGTAAATACAGAATGAATTGTTTTTTATATTTATTTCGATTATAAAAGAGATAAAAAAAGGAAAAATTTAACACAAATTTCAAGATATTGATTATACAAGGAAAAAAAAAATTTAAAAGTGTAACTTTTACAAATAAAAAATAACAGGATGAAATTTTGGCGGGTCAATTTTGGTAGATAATTTGCGGTGAAATATTCTATATAAAAATAAATGTAAAACATAAAATGAAGTTTTTCCGTTGAAATTCTCATTTTCCTGAAAATTAATTTCACTGACACGTTCACGTTGAGGATTTAATCAAATATAGGCAATATCATTTCATAAAAAAAGAAAAATATATATATTTTTCTATATTTTTAATTTATTTTCTCGCATAGAATAATTATTTCCTCGTGTACTTTTCAAATTTCCAAATTTTCTCCAAAAAACAAAGTTCGAAATTAAAACAATTTAATTCTAGTTCTTCAATTGCAAGATATCCTGTGCAATAGTCTCGTTTACATACATCGATATTAAATCAATTTTGGATATCTATAATTCGATGAACGATAATATTAAATTATAGATTCGATAGTTGGAACCGGCGGTAATGGTTTTTGTTAACCCTTGTCTCGATATCGGTGAAAATCGGCATAATTCGATTGGCCTCGAGTCGAGTTTAGCGCAAGTACGGTATTCAAAAGGAGACATAAACCAGCGTGGAGTTGTCTCGCCGTATGGTATCGATCCCATCCAATTCTGGAAGGTCAGAAGTGGGATACATCGTTATTAATTGCACATCAGATCGTGCAACACGGTACTAATCTAGATAATTGCGTTGTACCTTGTGGATCGAACGTTCGACTGTTTCAATAAATCGTAGCTAGTTTAATTACCGAATCGAAACATCGAAATATCGGATGGAATGTTTTCGAATAATTGAAAAAGTTATAATTTTTTCTCCGTTCCAACATCCTCATTTCCATATTTAGAAATGTTATTTTGCGAATAAATTCCTGTGTGTAATCGACGCATAAATTAGAATCTCGATTAAAATATATCTGCTTTAATCCACGAAGCTGTAGAATAGAACATTTATCATCTTAGACAAATAATTCTTACACGAATAATCTCAAAAATCGGAGATAATTAATTTTCTTTTCATCAAATATCTTCTGATAAACTCAAGATAAATTGTTCCAATTTATCTTCCATTTTGAGGAACGAATAAAAGTTAGCATCGGTTAAGTATCCTTTTTATAGTATGAATTCCACGAGGTTTCAAAAAAAAAGAACAAAAATGTCGAGCTATTAAGAGAGCACACGAGGGCTAGGAGGGGAAAAATAAACGAATTTTCGCGTGCAATTAACAGAGAGACAGAAACGGTGCTACGAACGAATGGATCTTTTAAAGCGGGTGTCTCGGTGTTTCGAATAGGAAAATATCGTCATGTTCCACGAAAACACTTTAAGCAACGAATCGCTGGCGAAGAGCAGACAAATGCAAACGTTGCGTGAAAACTTGAAACGTGAATCACGCGACACACTACCGCAGTAAGTCAAATAAGTCTTATATCGGTCCCGTTTTCTCCGTTTGAATGGAATTTTTATGCGAATTCTTTTTTTTTTCTTTCGGACGATTAAATATTTGGATCGTTAATTAAGCATCGTTTCGACGCGATCGCGATCGCGTTTAATTATTTGTGCACGCGAAATTGTTTCGTTCCAATTTTCTCGTTTTCTGATCATCTTGTCAAGAATGTAAGAAGTAGACGAAGTTTCTACTGAAGAATAGGAGTTAGCCCTTTCTCTTTTTAAAATTTCGAGAGAACCTCTCTTATTGAGAAATCCCGAGTAATTCGTCCTTGTTTCACCTCGCGCCATTCCCTTCACTCTTAGAAACTTTTGGTTCGTTTAAAGTGAAATTTCTTTTCTAGAAATCCTTTTTAGAAATTCTTTCATTCTCTCGCTTCGATATTTTCAGATTCGAGAAATATGTATCGAACTTTTCTCGTATAAAATTTCTTCGTTGCGAGGATACAAAGGAACCGTGTTTTTCACGATCGTAAATAAAAAGCGTGCAATAAATTTCGTTACATGGAGGTTGATGGCGTCAACTTGGATAATTGTTAGATGCACGTAAGGCAGGTTCGATGGATAATTTCGTGTAACTTGGCACGATAGACGTGAATCGTGTTTGGAAGACGGTTGGTTCTTCCTTCTAGCTATAGAATCGAGTTCAACGCGTGCTTCTAAAAGTATCTAAAAGAAAAAAAAAAAAAAGGAAAATTAATCTTGAATAAATGAGAAAAAGAATTTTCTTCGAACTTATTTAAGCAAAACTTTCTGCCATTCTTTCGCATTCAGATTCTACTTGAAATTATTTCTTTTCTTCGCTAATTTTACAGATCGATCAAAGTATTTCTCCAACGTTTCATTTGACAATTAACGTTCAATTCTATTTACAAAAAAACTAGTTCCTTTCGAATTCTGTCGCATTCAGGTTCTATTTGATTCTATTCTTCTTTTCATATC